TTCGGTTCATCAATGTAGTACCGGGTTGAATCAAAACCTGGGTCGTTACAATGTACATCCAAGATTTTGGAACACACAAGTCATGCCCTAAGTTCTCAACTATAATGGCATGTGAAATGTCAAGAAATCATAGTGTGCATCTATATAGACTACAATCAAGATATATAACACATGGAATCCATTGATGTAAATATATTACAAGTATAACATTAATGATTTAACTATTTACTAAACAACACATGAGTAATCGAACCATTCCAAGACAATTGTGCAAGTTCATTAAGTACATTAATGAAACTAAGATACAAGAGGTCATTATGTTTGATAAAAAGATAAAAGTTCGTGAGATATAAGTTCGATTCATAAGTGTGACAAGAGTTCAATACCAAAGCATGATTAACTCGATGGAAGCATAAAAAAGGAATTTAATCTACTTAAGGGATTAAATTATAAAGATTACAAGGCAAGTCCAAATGTTCTACGAACAAGATATGTCAAGGGTCATGTCAAGGACAAGTTCAAGGTCAAGTTACAAGTTCATTTTATACGAGACATAACTATGTGAATTAAAATCCATACCATGGGAATAAATAAATGTAAGTCTTAAAATTTATCCGATTGTTCTCAATTTAATACACGCGAAGGAACTTGTCAAAAAAATCATGAATACCAAGTTAGAAACTTAATCAAGTCCAAGGAATCATTGAATATGTTTTAATTAATTATTTTAATTAAAATCTCTAGATTTTGAAACTCATCCAAATGATCTCAAATTAAAGTATGTCATATAACATGTCAACACTTGATTTAAAAGCATGTTACAAGTGAATTCCATGTAAGATACTGCCATGAGTATTAAACTTTAATACTAGAAAATAATTAAATGAAAGGTTTCAAAACTTAATCAAATATTCCAGATTTAATATAGGTGAACGTATATGGCATTCACATCAATAATATCAAGTCAGAATTTCAATGAAATGAATAGTGCACTTGGAACAAATTAATTAATTATTACTAGATTTCAAAACATCTTCGATTACTCTCAATTTCACATATGTTGAAGAGTGTATTAGGGCCTAATATAATATGATAACACATATTGATTTCAAGCTAGATAAGGCTATATGAATTAAATATTTATTCAAGAAAAATATTAAATAAAATCTTCAATACTTGTCCAAATGCTCTCAAATTAATATATGTCAATAAATATATCAAGGTGTAATTTAATATCATGCCACATGTTTAAACTAAGCTATAATTAACCGGGAGAATCAAATCTCATACAAGAAAAATAAATAATAAAATTTTTAAATTTGATACAAAGATATGTAAATGAGTTGTATAAGCATCTATAGCATGTAATACATCAAGAATATAAATAATAACACCCCCTACCTCAATTTGAGATGAAAATCTCAAATCCCCACCGAAAGAAAAGTGCTCCGAATCCGACGATACTCCTAGGTTATGTCGGGGACAACGAGGGAAGCAACTTTAACCTTTGAGGTAACATAAAAATCCAAACCCGAACCCAAAAGTGGTCAGAAATGGATTCTAATAAGGGAGAAAGGTAGAGCACGATGAGGCCTACGATAAATGTTAAGGAAGAAGACAAAATACAAAAGAAATCAAGTGGAGAAGAAGAAAAGGTGGTGGCAGCCCCTTGGGATTCCATGGCTGCAGGCCAAGAGAGGGAGAAAGATGATGAAAAAGTAATTTTTCATATTAAGACTTTCTATTTATAGGAAAAACCTAAAAGGGCCTCGAAAGGGCCCCGCCGAGTTTGGAAAAGTGGAATTTGAGCAGATGCACTTAAACGGTGAAACTTCATGAAAGAAAAATAACTGAAATGAGAAAATATGAATAACGGAAGAAACGACATCAAAAATTGAGTCCCGAGCATAAAGATATGCCCCAAACAAGTTCGACGGCAATCGGGGTTAGAAATCCCTAAAACTGGGGAAAATGACCGAGAGGAAATTCTAAGAGTTCATGACTCAACGAAAAGTGAAAATGAATCCCGTACAAGGATCTAGGCTCAAAACGAGGTATTTTTGCAATAACTTTCGTTAATTGCATAATGGCCCCTCCAAAAAGGGTTAACTACACTAATGACCCGGAATGAAAATATCTTCGAAAAATATTTTCTTAAAACCCCTTGAAATAAAATATCTTCAAAATACATTTATGAAAAATACCCCGAGAAAAGACAAAGTTTCTAAAGAACTGTGCATCCATTGCCCCTATGGACACCTAGAGCAACTAGAGTACTTTCTTACAAAATTAAAGATACATATTTCATGGAAACCACTTAGAATGAAGGTACATGAAGTTAAAAACTAACTCTGAGCATGAAAAGTGAGGTTATGCCAAAAAGTGACAAACGGGGAAAAGACAAAATAAGGAAAAAGACGAAAAGTGAATAGTATCCAAAAAGTGAAAATGCGAAAATGACTCGGTCCTTAAAGGAAGTTGTCAATCCGAACAAAAGAGTCTCGGAAACCATTTCCAAGCACTAGAGACGACACCAAGTGATGAGAAACAGAACTCGAAAAATAAAATTAAACGGAAAAAATTTATCTGTAAAATTTAAGAAACAAAAAAGGGAGAAAAATGACCGGGTCATTACAGACATATACACAATCTTAGAGAGAGAGGTTGGAAAAGTCTAGAGATTAGAAAGATACACACCATTTGGGAGTTCTTCCATTCATCTGGGGTTTCCATCAAGAAGAAGATCATTCTTACCATAGAGATAGCCCTTGAGGGTTGGATGACTACATCAATAAGTGGCTAAACATCTTCTTGGGGCTAGAGTTAACCCTAAGCATGCCTTCTAGATCTTGATGTTTTGTATTTTAAGGTGATTTGGGTTATAATTATTGTCTTGACACTTAATTTATATATAAATCTTGTTTCTACAATGATTTATGTGGTTTAATGCTTCCAATTGATCATTCCATCCTATTTATATGTCTATGTATATTAGAATAGATGTTCATATGTTTATCTCTAGGTTTTGTGTTATTGATGCATGTCTATGTGCGTTGATGCTATGAATCTAGAGATTGTCAAGGCATGGTGCTTTAATGGAATACTCTTGTGGTTTGTTTGATGGTTTATACTCATTTCTTGATGGATTGTGCCTCTAACTTAGTTTAATTAGTTTAATTTTCATGTCTCTAGCTTAGTTGTAGTGTAGTTTCCTGACTTTCTTAGATGGGAGGACAATCCATGCTTGTTGTTTGATGTTCCATGCTTATGAATGCAAGTGGTATATTTCTCTAGCTTGTTGATATGTTGTGATTGTGAGCTTAAAGGAAGGAATAATGGCTTAATTTGATATATTGTGCTATTCATTAAGTTATCTAAACAATGTATACTTAATTAGTCATCCATGCTTGTTGATTCAATCAATCACACACACTAGTATTGTAACATACAATTCCCCTCATTTATTACACATTGAGTATCTAGAAAGGTGATATTTAGTGGTGACCTCTAAATCCCAAGATCCCTCTCTTCCATTCTCTACACTTTACTCTACTTCAATTGCTTTACTTTGCACTCATTTATTTAATATTGTAGTTTAATTAACCAATCACAACATTTTGATCACTCGACCTACTAATCAAACGTTGTTTCCATATCAATATTGCTTCCTTTCCCTTGGGATGATCCCTACTCACCCTAGCTATATTTATAATTAGTAATGGTAGTGGTAATCTATAAATTTAAACTTGGCTACTCTACACAGTTTTAGTGCAACTAGGTGAAAACATACCAAGTTTTGGCGCTGTTGCCGGGGATAAGTAACGCTGTATTTTTGAAAATAATTAGGAATTAGTACTCTTTTGATCGTGTCTTTACTTTATTTTATTTTAGTTGCTTATTATGTTTGTTCTTGATTGGCTAGGTGCATTGAGCAAAGGAAGTGAAGCAAAGGAGAATTTTAAAGTAAGAAGCTAAGCTAAGCATAAAAAGGCTAAAATCTCAAAAATTTACAAGCTAAGCGAAAATTAAAAAATAATTTGAAGTTGCTTAAGGACCCTTTGTGAGCTTTTCTAAACTCAAACTCTAGTTAAATCGTGAGCCCGCTTGGAGGCATGTTTTTACTTTCTTAGATAGATCGTGAGCCGCGTGGGGGAAATTTATTTTTCTTATATATTGTTGAAAGCATGAGAGTATGGGATCAATGTATGTGGAGGATGTTTGTTGATTGATTTGTTACAGAGGCGAAGTGATTGCTACTTGCTTGTTACTTGTGTTTGTTTTGCTTGTGTATGCATGGTCGTAGGTCATTAAATCCTATTCTTGTCCCACTTGATTTTCATCTCGAATCGGTTGTTCGTAATCCTAGGGTAAAAGGTAGCTCTTATCTCTCCATTATACCAATGGAGGAACATAATGACGATCATGTGAAGAAGCTTGGTCACATAGACCAACAAGGTATCCTCCACCCTAATGTGCATCATGACAATATTCAAGTACCATTAGGCATGCCAAGACCTTTTATTCCACCACAGCAACAAGGCCAAGTTCCATTGGGAATGCCTCAGCCAATTTTTGCTCCACAACCTCCCATTATTCAAGGAAATCAAGGTGTTCGTGTTGCACCACTAGTTGTGAATCATCTTTTTGCTTTGCGTGATTATTATGTGCCAAATGAAAATAATTCACCTATATGCATTCAATTGCCCCTATTTAGAGCATATCACTATGAAATTAAACCACAAACTATTCAAATGCTTCCCAACTATCATGGACTTCCAAGTGAACAACCTTATAAGCATTTGGATGAGTTTCTTAAAGTGTGTTCCACCGTGAAATACACGGACATGCCAGAAGAGGTTTTAAGACTTAAACATTTTCCTTTTACCCTTAAAGACAAGGCAAAATATTGGTTCAACAATCTTAGGCCTTTTTCGATAACTTCTTGGGCAGAAATGCAATAAGAGTTCTTGAAAAAATACTATCCAGTTTCAAAGACCAATGCAATGAGAACTTTAATTAGAGAATTTTCTCAAGAGGAAGGGGAATTGCTTCATGAGGCATGGGAGCGCCTCAATGACTTGCTTAGTAAGTGTTCACATCATGACATTCCCAAATGGCAATTGGTACAATTTTTCTTTGAAAGTTTATCCGATAATTTTAAAGGAATGGTTGATGCTTCCATGAGTGGTTCTTATCTTGATAGGCATGAGGATGATGTATGGCGTTTATACAAAAGCATAAGTGAGAATTCAATGCATAGATCTTTGTTATCTAAAAATGGTAGAAATCTAGGTGGAAGGAAGAATGTTAGCTTATATCAAGTTGATAATTCCAATAACATAGCCGCCGAGGTGAAATCTTTATCTCAAAGGTTTCATCAACCAAAATTCGGTGAATCAAGTGTCTTCCTCCCCTAATCATATTCATTATTCATCTAATGAAGCTTGCATAACTTGTTTTAGTGTTTTACATTCTACTTCCAATTGTCCCCATGGACATGTACAAAGTGAGAACCATGAACAAGTGAATGCCACATTTGTCAACCAAGGGAATAATCCCTATGGCACACATTATAATCCAGGGTGGAGGAACCATCCAAAATTTTCTTGGAAAAGCCAAGGAAAAGGCTCAAACCCTCCCTAAGGTGGTTTTCAAAGCAAGTATATTTCACCCCCAATGCAAAGCCAAGTTTCTCAAGGTTTTAGATCATCTTTTCAATCACATGGAAACCAATTTTCTAACTCTCATTTTCCTAATCAATCATCTTATTCTCAAGGAAATTCTAGGAGTCCCGCTTTTGAGGAAAAAGTGTTGACCGCTTTGGGTACTCTAGAGGCAAAAACCCAATTACTTCATTCCCACTCTCAATCTATTGCTAAGCTAGAAACCTAAGTCGAGAAAATAGCTAGTACTTTGAATGCTAGAGAGAAAGGAAAGATGCCTTTAAATGCCCCACCAAAGCAATAATTTGTTGTGGAAACCAATTCCTCATCGGAAGGTCCCACAATTGAGCATGTCAATGCGGTGATAACCTTGAGAAGTGGGAAAATTGTTGACAATCAAGTTGGAGTTTCTAATGAAGAGAGTGAACCGGTACAACCAAAAGTTGACACCCGTCCCATTTCACGTCATATTCCTCCTTCATTACATATGAAAGATTCTTGTGTTGATAAAGTTTATAAATATTTTTAGAAAAATTATTGTGTTAGAAGTGACCCTCAAAAAGATTTTGAAAAAGTTTATGAGCCAAGAGCTCTATTTCCAGATGCCTTGAAAGGATCCAATTCTCTTAAAAAACAACAAGGCAAAGCCAATGAAATCATTGAAATGTTTAGACAAGTGAAGATAAATCTTCCCCTTTTGGATGCAATTAAGCAAATTTCGGCTTATGCCAAATTTTTGAAAGACCTTTGCACTTAAAAAAGAAAGAACAAGAGCCAAGCACCAAAGAAAGTTGTTTTGACCGAGCAAGTGAGTTCCATTTTGCAACATAACACACTTCCAAAGTTCAAGGACCCCAGTTCACTTACTACTTCTTGTGTCATTGGTGACCATGTCATTAATCGGGCTCTTCTTGATTTAGGAGTGTACACACAAATTTTGTTGTCCTACAAATAGAAACAAAATATGGGCAAAATAATAATTTTATTAATGAATGAATGTGGAGTACAATCTTTTGTAATATTCTTTACAAAAAGAATGGTCCTCTGATTCGATCTCCTTTTTGTTGTTGGTTGGATCCAAGGGCTGCACGAGCTTGTTCTTGAATCGTCGTGGAATTTGAATGAGGAACGACACGATTTGATGTGCTTATTGTTGATCAAAGTGGAATTTGATGAAGACCGGCACGATTTGATGTGCTTGGTGTTCTTCGCTTTTGGGTTTGGATGTTGGGGAAGAGAGCTTTTGTATTTCTCTCTGGAATTCTGGATTTTTGAATTCTGAATTTATGTGTCCCCTCGTCCTTTCCCAGGCCTCTATATATAGGCTTCTTGGATCCATAGGATGATGACACGTGTCCTTTCTGATAAGGAAAATATCATAACTGGGCCAGGCCGGTTATATTATGATAATTATCCTTAAAAATAATTATTCCAAATATATTTTATTAGGAATAATTACCTTTATATTTAACCATCTGGGCTGGGCTAATTAAATAATTTAAATGGACCAAACTTGGGCCAATTAAATAACTTAATTAAATATTAAGCCCATATTTAATGGGTCCATTTGTCAAAGTCAAAGCCCACTAAAATTTTAGTGTCTACAAATTGCCCCCACTTCAAGTTCCAAGATTGACAAAACTTATCTCCTTTTTCAAGTGGGACTTGAAGTATCCAACTTTTTTTTTTTTTTTTTTCTCACTTTCCTATTTTACTTTGGATTGTAAGCTTTCCTCTTTTGCTTTTCTATCCAACTTAGGATTGGAATTTGACTTTCCTATTTGAACTAAATTGTCCAAATCCAAATACAACTTGGAGGTATCTTGTTGCCTATATATACCCTCAATATTGTAGAGTTTGACAAACCAAGTCTCTCAAAACCGTGCTTGGCATCACTAAGCCAAATCAAATCCCTTAATTTCAATCCACAATCAATCACTAGAACTATAATTCCTCAAAACTACGCCTAGCCATAACTAGGACGAGAAAACTCCATAAATAAGCCAAATCTAACAGCGATCCTTCAAAACCTCTCCTAAGAGTCAACCACATCTAGGTCTCCTAAACTGAAACAAGTCTCCAAAGGACATTCTCAAAAGAGCCTCGAGGTCACCTCATGAATCAAACATATCCTCAATGATATGGACGCAAGTCCCCGTAAAATAATCTCACACCAACCAACTCGTTCTGAGCACCACAACTCCGTCAACAACCACGGCAAAACTCCCCAAGGGAAGACACGAAGGAAAAAGGAACCACCAATCCTAAGAAGGACAACAACATGACTCAGTCTCTGAAACGAAAGACAACAAGGTCAAAGACTTCGCCCCCTACATGGAAGTAAGTCGACCAAAATCCATCAAGTCCTCACCAAGAACTCAAGACAAAAATGGTGATCCTCACGGACCAGCTAACCCCAAAACTGTGCACAATGCAATGAAGAGAAGAGACCCACTCCTTATGAAGCCCCTTACTCAAACCAAGAAAAGAGGAGAAACCCTATTCTCCCACAAATGTCAACACGACAAATGTGAAGAGGGAACAGAAAGGGAAAACTGAACATGGAAGTCGTGCACAAAGCAAGGAAACGCAACTACCAAGAAAATACATTTACTCACATAGATAAAATCAAGGGTACATGCAGCACGTCTCCACGTAGCACAAAAGCATGTCATTAAAGCACAGTAACAACATGACATCTCTAAGCATATATGTAAGGCATGCTAATGTCACACAACAAGAAGATATATGTGGATATACCTCCACCTACTCATGCATCGCAATAACATAAATCATACTACTAACATGGTAGTAAACGAAACTATAGAAGATAAAATGATGCAACAATAAACCCTATGGACATCGTGTCCTAGAGTGTCTAGGTAAAAGGAAAACAAGTCCCAACTATAATCTGACTCCAAAAATCAATGTGACAATAACTTGTCTCAAAACAAACGTGATCCCTCACCACAATGGTAAGACTCTAACAATCCATCTCCAAATCTAAAAGTGACACTATGAGTGACACTAACAATGCAATGCTCTCACTAACCCAAAACATTGATCAATCGACTCGACCACAAAAGTGTCATCATGCAAGGAGAACTCAAAGAAAATGCCAACTATAGCCATACCATCAACAACCAAATCAATCTCAAGAATCATCCCTAAAATGACCATCAATCACTGACCAAAAGGGTTACGCCTATTGGAACAAAAACCAACGCCGATTCCATCTAAACTGCACTCGTAGCTAGCCAGTACGGTAGCATAACAGTGCCATGCACCCACCCACAAACGTACCCGCCCATGAAGATTGCAATCTCAGAGGAACCTTCCAAAATAACCAAGGATCCTAAGAGGTCCATAACCTTATCATATCCCAAAACCAACAAATCCAGCCCTATAGCTATGCTTAGTGACTCAACTCACGAGAGCCTAAACAAAAGGTGTCTCTCCACCTACCTCAAAACCGATACTAGATCAACAACGACCTAAACTACAATGAAACTATGACTACAATCACCATCAATCTTAACTCGTGCCTCAATGACCAATCCCGTGTCATACCAAATATGCAAAACAGTTATGTATATACAAATCTAACCTAGCATAAATCATATGTCATGCTCTTTACAATAGAATACAATCATACTAAACAAACGGCATACCACATGTAGCACGTAAGCACATAAACATGTTATCATGAAGCATATAAACACGCAAAACAAAGTAACAAAAAAGTGATATGCACCCAGAACCCATCATCCAAGGTATTCAAACCTAGGAGCTCTGATACCACCTGTGACGACCTTATTTTTTCTTCAAGCCAATGCGTCTTGTGATGAACCAAAAGATGACCCGATAACGGATCTGAAATGCAGAAACGAAAGAAACAAATTGACCTCAAGAGATGTATGTCATCCCTAAGGCCCCAAAGTGACTCTCCATGAAGCCACGGAACTTAAATGAGCCTAGCAAATGAAGCAAGAATGCCTAACCCTAAAAGAAATGAACTAAGGGTAAAATGGTCATTTCTCATTAAAATGGGTGCCACCGTGCACACCATTGTAAAGACAATGAAAAATGAACAAAATTAGACTCAAGAATCGTCTGATACTGAGTTCGGGCAGAAAAGATATGAAATTCGCACTCCCGATGCGAAAGCTATGAAGCAATGACTTAACATTTTCCAATATTTTCATAATAAACTTTGAAAACAAAAGTGCATAAAAAATAAGATATATGTCATTGGCCTCCGGCCTCATCTTATACATGTTAAATACATTGAAAAGAGTGTACTTATGTACATTTTACATATACGAATCAAAGAATACAAGTTTTAACATATAGGGCTACAAATAGGATTTCATGCCAATATTTTCATGAAAATGATACTTCAAGTCTACGAAACTTCCATGGCATAGTGTGCATCCCAAATCAA